TGCTCAGGGTGAAGAAAGGTACTTCAAAGGCAGTGTAAAGCTGAGTGAAACGCACCTATCTTGTCGCCATCCTGGGCATTGCCTACAGCAGCATAACAGGGGCTCTACGTGGCTTTCAAAAGGGGCTGAAAAACCAAAATAATGAGACTACTAAGCTGCCAGCATCGCTTCTTGAACAAAAGGGGTCACCTGAGCTCAGTAGCCATTTAACAGTAAGGCAGTTAGTTAGGAATCTTACACTGAAACAGTTGCTTGGGCCTGCTGCAGAAGACCTGTGCATCCACACCTCCCATGGGGGTTACACATCGTATGGTGGGACAATCTGTCCTCCAAAAGCTCTGAATTTATGTCTAACTTTACTTGCCCAGAAATTAGATGCAATGAATTCCCCGCTCATTTTCTTTCTGACCTTTCATGCAGAAAATGAGTTTGGAGATGAGTGAGCCACGTTGGGGTGCCCTGCACTGCTGTCCTGGGCAGCCAGAGTAGCTGAGCGGGATGGAGAGCAGGCTGTGGAGCTGCATTATGAATTGCTTGGACTTCAATTCCCACGTTGAACTCTGGATTTTGAATGATAGTTATAAACTATGGCTTGATGTAACTCAGCACCTGTGAAAATTAGGCCACCATCCATTTTTCACCTTGAGTGATGTATTACAATGAAAATCAATCAGACTTTTTTTCCAAATCAATGCTTTTTTTACCAAGTTGACACAAAATTGTGCTGTAACACGAATAATTGAGAGTCATATGCAGACTATCAACTTCAGGCATGTATTTAGGTTTTGCTGTATCTAACAGGTGGGTACTCAGCCTCAGCAGAATGATTTAGACCACCCACATGAGGAGCCCTACCTACCTCCTGCACGGTCAGAGTAAGATCTAAGTGCTTCCGAAGGCTTCCAAAAAACAAGTCAAAGGTCTATGTTGGGATCACCGTACCAATCCCTATGCCAGGAGCACTTCCACAGGACTACTCATGATATCGGCACATGCACTTATTAATTCTGGATTGTTGTTGCTAGCATATGGCAGTTCCCAGAAAACAATTTAAAGAGTACAAAATCTTTTTGATTTTGTTCAACAGGCACATCGTTATTTGAATGTTACTGACATTGAAAGCACGGAGCTATGAGGGTGATCAGAGTATTGTCACAGCTTTCCCGACGTCAAAGAATGTTATTAAACAACAGAAAACGCTACTAAGAAAGGACACATGATATTTACAGAAATAATAAATCAAGCTTTGTGTGTAACTTTTGCACAGAGCCATATGAAATACAGCTACAAACTCGTAAATTTTTTGTTGGTGACATATAATATTTCAGAACAGTGTAATTTTTAGCCCATTCATTTGGGGTGATCATAGTTGACTGGAGTTTGCATGAAGAATGCATAAATACTGTGATAAACAATATCAAGACAATTTTAATGACTTGCTCATGCCTCTCTTCTATTCCTTGGTAATTGCTGATTTGCTGTGTGATTAAATCAAAGACTGCTCTTTAAGGAAGAAAGAGGAAGAAATTAAAACATGGCAAAGACAGGACTTTAGCCCAAAGTAAATAATGTCAAAGATCGTAAGATGATGGCAAATTCCTCATCAGTTATGAAATAAACACTTTCCAGATTGACGTTTAGGATCAAAACACATCCTGAATTGTAAAGATTCTGGTATTAGAAAAGGGGAATTGTTTCTGGATTGTCAGATTGGCTGACACCTCTTCTTAGGGAGACTCGCAGGGATATGTCTAAGTCTGTATTGAGATGGTTTGGCCATCATCAAGACCGGATTCATGAGCTGCCCAAGCAATAGCCTTGAAAGGCATGTTTAACTGTTGGTAGAGACTCCCAGAGAGAAAGAAGGACTGGTGCTAACCCTGGGAAGGCCTGGCAGAGCAGCCGGATTCATGCAGAGCAGCTGCTGCCGAAAGTTGCCTGTGGAGCCCACTTGGACCATGCACAGCCACCCTGATGGAAAGCAGGAGATGTGGCCAAAGGGTGGGGGGAAGCACGAAGAAGCAGATGTGTGCAGGGCTAGGCATCAGCTGGCACTGGAGGGTCTGCCTGCCCCAGTTAATGATGGGGAAGGCTCTCTCTGGGAACAGGCAGCAGCGGGGAGCGGGGCTCGTCAGAGGCCGTAGCTTAGCCCGGTCTGGGAACTGGCGGAGATTTTAACAGCTGGAGCCGCTGAAGCAGCCAAACTGGCCCCAACACGGCCCCGACCTCGAGGATGAACTCGAGAGGGACAGAAGCAATACCAGTACATCTCACCTCGTAACTATGTTGTACAGAACATGAGCTTCCACTGGAAAAATTCATCAGAATGTGAACTTTGATTTCAGGGGGGTTTTAAGCTGGATTTTTTTTTTTTCCAAATTGTTACTATGCATTTCCCAAACTTTTTCCCAAGTCTGCTCAGTATTCTAAAGAAGCATGAATGTTTCCCATACGAATCAAACAAGGTTTATAGCTTTTCACAAGTTTTATTGACATGTGGTACCGAGCACCTGCCGTGATGAAGGAAATTCATGTCAGTGGGAATATTAGAAAGAGAAAAAGAAGGTGATTTATTAGGAGCGGTATCTCTTCTTAAAGCTGCCTTAAATTTATAAGAATTTTCCAGTGTCTGTCTGAAGTTTTTGCTGATTTTTGTATCCACATGTGAGCAACATGGTATACTATAATTGCACCACACTGTTCTTAAAACAGTTCTGCAAAGATATGCGGTGTTAAGGAAGCCTTTTTATTAATGACATTGTACTTGGCAAATGACCCAAGAACCGTATCAGTAAGAGAACCATTCAGAAACATGTTTATTTTAAACTTTCAGGTTGGAGTCTCCTGTTTCACTGGGTTTACATGGTTGTAGTTCTTGTGACCATAGCAGAATTATTCCTAATTTATACTGGCATAACTGAGTAGATTCAAACCTTAGAGTGCCACCGGAAATACCAGTAGCATAAAAAGCTCTGGTTTTAGAATGCACTTAGAAATGAGCTGGAGGATTTCAGCCCTGGGAGAAGTAATTGGAGAGGCTGATCAGACATGACACCTGGAAAGTTAGTGTCCTGGAACACTTAGTAACTTTGGAGATAGAGTTTTAGGTAGTGTATATACCTATCAAACTAATTACATAGTTTATTTTAGCTAATTACATTTTTTGGGCAGAGATCCAAATGCTAATTAGGCAAGATAGGTGGAGAGACATATATATTTTATCTGTAAGATAAGCTGAGTCAGTAGCAAAGCTTGTGAAAGAGTGCAAGAAAAAAGCACCTGTCATCATTGTAGGCACAACTTACAGTAATAGCATGGAAGGGGAGATTTCAAAGTTTTGCATGAAAATGTCATGTTTACAGTGTTAAAACTTTATAAGGCTGCATTTATTTGTTTCATGTCTACTTGAAGATATTAACTTGGCTATACACCATCTTTCTTTCTGTATTAAGTTGATCTGTCAACGATAAAACCTCCTGCTCTTCAAAGCTACAGTAGATGTTCCTCATGGATGTACCAGTTCAGCAACAGTCAGGAAAGAAAATATATCCTTGAGAGTAATGAACTATCCAGAGTCATCAAAATAAATTATTTTGGCCAAATATTAAATCTGTGAAGACAATAATGCAGCAATACCAATTCCTGAAGATGCAGCCTAATACAATGCTGTTTATTCTAAGACAGCATTCCTATTAGATTTGAAAGGTACCATGAAATTTCCAGGCACTTCTGACAGACGAAGAATATTTTTCATCTTTAATTTGTGAAAAAGGAACGTGCAAAAAATGTTCTGCAATCATTCGTGTCTGATGGTGCTTCAAATTTGTTTATAATAGAAGCCTCTGAAATGGTTTAGTTGCAGTGTTTCTGGATGAATAAGCCTATGTTTTAAATAAGAGCATGAATGCAGGTAGGGACATCGGACTGGGAAGAAATCTCCTCAGTTACTGGGGGTTACTGAATCCCATCCTTTTGTCTCTATTTCATATGTCGCTCTTTCATGTTACACTCTCTTCTTTATGAAGCAGACACACATGTTGAAACACACTGACTTTAAGTGAAATTCTTCACCTGGGCACTTGGACTTTATGCAGGTGAAGAGAGATGGTTTGGGAGGAGAAAACATCTACTCTCAGGATGGGTTTCCTGTATTTTATGTGCCTTCAAGACATACACGACACAGGGGCATTCACCGGCCCTGCCCTCCTTGCTCTGTTCCCACTGCAGAGCATTTTAAGTTCATAAAATTTCTTGGGTCATGCATCGGTCCCTGTTTTCTTGTGTATTGAGGTACAATTTCCAGTTAGCTCTCAAATGGTAACTGCAGAGGCAGTGTTAGGAAAGAGTAGAGGATCCATTTTTTTTCAGGCAAATAAATACAGTAACTTGGCTGAAGCTCCCATTGGGAAGGAAGGCTGCGATATTTATATGGCTCTGAGGTTTAAGGTGACAATTGATCCATGATGGATGTCATTCTGTATTCATTTTGGGCAAAAAGGCACTTTGTTTATTTTCACCTGTAATAAAGTGTTGGATCATTCCACAGCCTCCTTAGTAAATGAAATGGATCTTCTCCTTTGTCTTCAATGTCAGGTTGATCCATAGTGGTAAAAAAAATAACAATTTTAATATAACTTCAGCATCTTTTGATTCTGCCATTATATCTGTTAGCTCACCACTTTCCCTTAAGACAGAGAATGTGATGAAAACCAGTGAGATATCAGGAATAGAGATACTGGTACTAAACTATTAATTTGTTTGAAAAATAGCAGGGCTTTCTTCCTTTCTAACTTCTACTGTTTACACTGGGGACTACCCAGGCCTTTTATGACACAAGCGCAGACACAGACAAGTGCATCATATAGTTTGTAAACTGATGAAGCTCTGTCTTATTTGATTTGTAGTCCTTATTTTTTCCAGAACCACTATGCAGGCAGTTAGAAAACACTAAGGAAGACATTTTTAAATGCTGCTTGTTGGTCTGCTCTTGTATTTTGCAGCTGACACCAGTCTTGGAACAGATGATGTTTATGATGATAAAGGGTGCCAGTGTGATGTGTCAGTAGAAGATCTCACTCCTGCTCTTAAAACTGTCATCAGAGCAATCAGGTGAGCAAAAAATACTGAATGAATAAATATTTGAGATTTCTTTACCTAAGATACTAATTAAATGAATGTCAGTTAATAAAATGGCGGTTAGTTGAACTTATTACATGGCTATATTTGTTACATAACTACTGCTAACATAGTATATTTATGCTTGCTTTTCATGAGTATTTCATTTATAAGTCAAAATATTTTATCTGTTCTGATGTCAGCTTTTCAATGTCTAAAAATATTACATGATTTGATTCAGAAAAGAATGAGAGTAATGAATGCTGGTTTCCACTATATTTCCTGTAATCCAAATTACTGTAATCCAGTTTGATGTAGTTTTACTGAATGTATATCACCTTGCCTGGAAAAGTTATTTCCTTTAAAAGTTTAGATTTTTATTGCATTTCTGTATTCCTGAAACTGTCATACGACTTTTATTTCAACTTTCTTCTGGTAACAGCAGAATAATTACATTCATTCAGTTGTGCAAAGCCTTGCCTGCCACTATCCATTGAACTAAACATAACCCAAATAATTTAAAACTAATTGTCTCCTTCTCCAAGAAAGTAGCAAACTGCATTGAAACTTCTAAGATTACCTGTACTGAAAGCTTAAACTTAGCATTCACCCTCCTGAGACCACCGAGGCTCTTTTTACAAGTTTTATTGACACGTACATCGACAAGCAAACCCGAGGTTCTTGCTGGGGTCACCCCACTGGCCCTGCAGCACAAGTCACATCAGTGCCAGCACCCTTCTTGCAGGCAGGCAGGCAGCAGACACAGGGGATTTCTGCCCAAAAAAATCCTATGGAAAGATAATGTTTTCCTGCAGAGAGACTCTCGCCTTAGTTCTCTCAGCACTATGGGAAGAAAGAACTTGAGCTCTTTATCAAATAATTTCATACAGTGATAACCTACAGGCTACTTGTATTTTCTTCCCCTTTTTCCACTGATTGCCAATGAAGGCAGATAGCGAGTAAGGCTGTTTCTAATACTTTTCCACTAGCACAGACAGCCTGACAGATCATTTGCAGATGCCTGTTTCAATGATTTTTCCAACCTGGCTGGAAATGACTTCACAGGATGTGTCAGATACCAGGTTCATGTCCACAGCGACGCCAACTGGCAACTCAAATGTCACCGCTGAGAACCATCTCTT